CAAGAAACTGGTGCAGAAAATTGGACATTCCTTCTAGATGCTGACAGATTTCTCCCATTGAACAGCAAAACCTCCTGGTCACATCCATCACTTTTGTCACCTTCTCCTCTGCTGTGTTCCTGGGGAGTCCAGAAGCATCATGTGTACATGAAAAGCAATAAATACAGCAGCACCCTGGTGAACACACTACCAGTCTATTTCTCTGTCAATATGTGCACTCATGATCCTACCTTCACAGTAATGATCCTCCCTTGCCACGTGAACTGTAGTTGGAATCCTGCTGACTCAGGTGGTTCAACCTATAAAAAACCTTTGACTCTCACTGTCAGAGACAATCTGTTCAGCTATTCCATTTTCAACTGTGGGTACACATTAAGAAAGTCTAAAGACAGCTACTAACCTACCAAGCTACAATTCTTGCCATAGAAAAAGGTCTCAGGAGACAACGAGGTGAACAAACTGTTTTAGTAGATAAGCTTAAAACTACAGCATGTAATCATCATGCTGCAAAATGACTATAGTGGTAGTTAACAAAGAAACTTTCCCCATGTTGATCTCAAAACCCCAAAAGTCTCCTCCTCCTGCCCCTGCCTCAAGGGGAGTGGGGGAAGAGGCGAGTTAATGTGGCACAGGGCACAGAAGTGAGATTAAATCATCTCAGTTCAAGCAGCAAGCTTTTTCCAGTCCTCTCAACCCCAATCAAGGCACACGATTATGCAAACACATCCACACTCCCACAATTTGCTTTCTACAGTAACATGTCAGGTCATTTCATGTCAGCAGGCGCTCAGCTTCCCACAGAGGCCTCTGGAAAGGGGCACTCCTATCTCACAGACACTGCACCTGGTCTGGATCTTGCACAATCCCAGTTATCCACTAGCCGGTGGCACATAATTCTGTTCTGCTTTAAAGGGCTGCATGCTATGGTCAGTATGACAGAGTACGTTTGGTATCTAGACTAATAAATCACCATGACAAGTTCACAAGGCTGCCATTCTGCATTTTGTCATCTTACAGGTTTCTCTCTTTGAATATGAAGAAATAAATAATGAAACCGCCTACTTATTTGGTGAAGAAATGCCAACCTTCTAAACTGCACTTGTCTTCATGCTTGAAATGGCTGACTCTCAGCACACCGACGCACAAGAAATACCATTTCAAGCGCATTCGTCAAGAGTCGGCACAAATGCCGATTCTGCAAAACCTTCCCAGTATAACCTTGTTTCAGACGGAGATGATTGTGTCCCGGAGTGGCACAAATCCCTCATTGGCCCACATTTTAAAGACAGGAGAGACTGCACTCCTCTGTGTAATCATCCCTTAAGTGTACATGAAACATTTACTGGAACAAGTATTATCACACAACAGCAGTCCATCCTTTGAATAATCCCCTGCCTTACCATCTCTGCCCACAGGGCTCCCATGGGCCTGGGCTATTCCAACGTGATCCCAAATGACCAGTGTGTCCCCTTGCCCACTGCCCTGTTGTTGGTGCCACGAAACCCTGGTTCTGTTTGGCCTCATGCTTCTGTAGTATCTCACTGACATTTGATCAGCTCAGCAGCCAGCTCAGTCAGCCCATAACTTTCCACGGGGTCACTCAAAAGGCAATTTCAGAGCTGAAAACAATTTCACTTATAGTCTTCAGTTACAGGCTATCAAATTTACTATTTCCACAACTGCAATGATCAAATTATAGCCCATGATTCTGGCAGGGTTCGAGTCAAACCAGCTAGAAGAAAAACACACAGATGCTAAACTCTCACCAGTCCTGCATGGCCAGGTCCCACTCCAGGAACTAGAAACACGCAGCCACGATGAGGCTGCAGCCTTGTGCACAGTTTTATTGTGATGACCTGGTGTTTTCTTCAAGTAGTATCCCCTTCCTTACCTCGTGCTAGCTCAGCTCCAGCAGGATGCATGCCCATCATCCCCAGTGACACTCAGCTGTGACTCCACTGACAGGAACAGGGCTACCACTGTGAAACGGAGAGATTTACCAGATGACCTCTACAAACAAGAGCTGTGGCACAAGAGAAAGGGTTGCCAACTAGTTGACACAGTCTTCAATTATGCTGCTATTACACTGGAACACATGTAATGTAGCTGCAGCTTTAGAAAAAAAGAACCATCTCCATTTGTGAAATGAAATAAACCGAGTCCTGCCTAGGCTTGCTTTCAGATAGGGCACACAACCATTAGGCTATGAATGAAATTTCAAATGTTAATGCCTTATCTTGACAACCCAGGAACAAAGGGTGCCAGACGGTTCGAGCCACGTAGCTGCGTACGCTGTCGAGCTATGCTTGCGAAGCGATGAAGGTCACTGTAAATCCACACCACCAACAGAGCAGACACTGCTAGCATCCATCCAGTTTGTCTGGAAAACAAAATCTACCATTCTCCCTGCTCCTGAGCAGTGACACCTCATTTTTGAAGTACACCAGGATTTTTCTGTGTATTTGTAAATATAATAGTCAATAAACTGGAAATTTCACTTAGAAAAACCCTAGGTCCTGGTTTCTGCCTAACTTTGACATATTCAGATTACTGTACAAGTCCTGCAATATTTGGCCAAAACCTTGTGCACACACAAGAATTTTTAGTTATCACAACTTAGCCTATGTGGGAAAATCTAAGAAAGTTAAGATTAAGATAAGGCTGAAAATGCAAAGATTATTTAATAAAGTTATTAAATGCACAGAAATCTGCTTTCATTTCATTAAAGCCTGCCTGGAGAACTGCATAGGCACCACATTCCATTTATTATACCAACGTGCACATTTGTGAGTTTCCATCATTATGCACGGAGATAATGGATGTGTATTCCATCTATTCCTTCATCTTTGTAATTTATACATTTCTTGTTTTCATGATCACACAAATCTGGACTGCAAAACATCACACCACTCCCACATTCACACAAATAAAACATGGCCAGCAGGCTCCCAGCAAGTCAAAACTGCCATCCCTGCATCATGGGCACTGCTTTTTTCAAAAGGTATGTTTTCATGGATATACAGTTCTTGTATCCCTAAAATTAACTGGACTAACAGTTACGAGAACGAATGGAAGATGCTATACAACTACAACACACACACTAGTGCAAAAGGTTGACATCTTTTGTCTTTACCTATGATACTGAATGACCTAATGAGATACTTAACACAGGAAAGTACAATTAGAAGAAAGCTAAAAAAGATGTGTTTATTTCTTTGTAGGTACAGCTGAATCCTCGACACGATGTTCTTTAACCTTATGCTTTCACCCCAAAGGACCAGGCAAAGAACAACAAAGGGTAAGACATTCTGCTTCAGTTACAGTTACATATCCCTCTAGGAATTTTCTTGATATACATATATTTGGTGAATCAACAGGAGCCAAACACAATTTATAGCAGATCATACATCAAAACAGAAATATCCTGGAAGGCTGTGTCTTGGTATTTCATTAGCAAATTTGACAGCATTTCTATTAATGAATGTTTCTATCTGTTGCAGTTATGTAAAGTGCTGTTAATCACAGATTTAAATTAAAAATTACACACAGCAACATGCTTTTTTAAATTTTTATTGACTGTAATATTTAAACAATTTCATAAACAAATAAATCATAAAACCGTCTGTTCATGATGCTTCCAATCTTCTTTTCTTCCATTTTTCCACATAGAACTTGAATGTCTCCTACAAATAGAGTGGAATAAACAAGTTCAACGTTGTTCCAATTGAAAAGTTACTAATTCTGAGCGAAGTCTTATGTCCTGACAAAAGCAAAATCTATTATTCTCTGTCATGCAAAACTAGATGTGTATTGAAGTCTGTATAATTAAGAGAAATACCAGAGAGAGAGAATAAAAGGAAAAGGAAAGCCTTGCCAAAAATGCATAATGAAACTTCTATTACAAAATGCAATAATATAATCAATTTCATTCTAAAAATGAAAATACTTTTTAACTGCAATCTGCAATTGTGTCAAAAAAATTGAAACGCTTTCAAAGACCAGGCTGCATTAGAGAAAAACTGAACAGGGAAATCAGAAAATGAATCATCTCAGTGACTTTGAAAAAACACTCTTATATTCATTAGCTACATGTAAGAAGACATTCTAGGTTTTTAGTTTACAGTCCAAATAAAAATTCAGGTTATAAATTATGTCAAAGTCGCAGAAAAAAAATGCCAGAGCTGCTAAAAGGATAAACCAAATATTCTATGTCAAAATTTTCTCCAATTCTTTGCAAAATTAGAAAAGAAAAATCACATTAATCATGCAGCAATATGAAGAAACAGTATATAATCAAGTCTCTACAGAACTGCAGAAAAACATCTATTTTAAATATTAAAAACTGGTGAGAAAATAGCAATAAAAAGTTTGCTTAGGGAAGGAAAATGCAATAAATCTCAAAAATCTGCTTTGCTAAAATGGTACTAGTAGACTATTAGTCAAATGAATGATACAAAAGTATTTACAGACTTAACAGATGTAGTGTCAGGCCACTTGCCACCCTCAAGTAAGATATATTTGCACAGTTGCATACATGTGCTGTGGCAAGGCAGCTAGAAACAAAGCTGCCATAGAAAAATAAGTCCTGCAGTTCTAAAATCCCATCCTACTAGTGGGGCAACTTGTACGAGACACAAAACAGGTAATTAATGAAAACTAAAAGCGATTAATTGTTAATGAAGTACACATTGCATGAGCCGTTTCAAGTTCAATTGCTCAGATAAATGCCCCAAGGAGATTTGATAAAGGTACACCTGTAGATGAGTGCCCGATAAGAATGAGGTAGTTTAAATATCCTAAGCCCAAGAGGTTTTCTTTCCACAAGTCAAACCCAATGCAAGATTACTACAGCTCCTACAACACTCAGTACTTCATACATTACCTCCTTTGAGGAGTCTCTGCAGAGATCTAATCCCTATGTAATTATTCATGCAATTTGTTTTACTAACACTGAACACACACAACTCTGCAGATCCATTTCTTAATTAGGAAATACTCACAGGGGGTTCAGTGAAAGGAACAGGCTCTCCTACTTTCTTCAGAAAAGCTGCTAAAGATTTCAGAGATAGCTCGTGCAGTTGTATGTTGTTGGCTTTTGTTTTCTCATACACAGCCTTTACAGAAGCAACATCCCCATCCAGTTCTGAGGAAAAAAACAAACCCCCACTGGTTAATTGTTTATCTTTTTACCTGTTTCCATGATGTCATGCATTCCAACTACTTGCCAAAATACATTCTAAGTATTTTAATAACACAATACTCCAAATACTCTGGATATTCTTCATATCCTACTGGCAACTCACACAAGGCAACAGAACATACAGTCATGCTAGCCTTTCTTTTTTATTTGAGGTCGGATGATCAATTCCTTCAAGCATGTGCTGGAACCACAAAGGAGCAGTAGGAGTTGCACAGTGAAAACACACCACCTCAAGGACATGAGATACAGAGCCATATGACTCCTTCTGAAGCAATAAAAACAAAACCCACCAAATTCAGCCTGTGAGCACTCCAGAATAGAATTTGATTCCCTGAAGTAAGGGCAGAATATTTTTAAGGCTACAGGTGCTGGCTACATCAAAACTACAGCCTAAAGGAACAAAAAATATCTAAAGACATTTCCTATCGAGCAGGAAAAAAGTTTTGCCAACCCATTAGCACATTATAAACCTTAAATACTTGGGTAACCAATAACATTTTTCTGGATATTCCATGAAAGGCACCATCCCCTACCACAGGTTCTAACTAATCCATTCTTCATTTATTTAAAGAACTAGTCACTTCTGGCTGTAGAGGAGTGGACTGTATTTCTCCTTCCTCTAAACTGCGAGAGGGGAGGAACTCCTCCTCCTACATTGACTCAAGCTTAACCACTGACTTCTCTGCTGCTTGAGAAGCATCAGGATGAAAGTGAAGTGACCCCTGACAGTTTCACTGCTGTCCTCAGGGTCCTGGAAGCAGTACAACTGCCATCACGTCCAGTTAAATTCATTTTGGTGCTTGGGAAAACACAAACACCTGCAGTATGGCAGCTGTCTCAGGTTTTACTTGTTCACCACTTTTGCAACCACTGGGGCTAGAAAAACAATGGTTCATGAAAAAAAAAGCTTTAATTATGCAGAAATGGATAGCTTGCACCCCTTTCTCCTGAGAAAAAGCTTCCCACTCACATCTGGTGAGTGGCTGAGCTCCTTTTTGAATGTGGGTGGCTGCTGCAAAAACTGTAGGCAATGACAGCTTAATGAAAGCATAATAGAAATCCTTAACTTCCTATTTCTTTAAAATAGATGTTTTTATTGTATGGGAAACACCAACAAAAAGAGCTAATACTCAGAATGCATTTAATGGACCACACAAATGTGACTTTACATATTTCATTTTTTCTAGAAGATATGCAGCAAAGGATTATGTATCTCACCAGACGAAGGAAAGCTAGCCCTGGCAGTGGATCACATCCCAGGATGAAGAAAGGAGCAATTGTCCTTTTATGGGTGTCTGACAGACGATCAGACTTCTTTCAGCTGTGATCTAGATTCTACTCTATCTCTGCTAAACACATAAACAATTATATTTGTCCATTTCTTTTGATAACTAGCAACAGTAACCAACAATGGTAATAGTACTTTGTTATGTTTCATGTCCCTTTCTAACTAATTAAAAATAACAATGGCCTGACAGGAGAATTATTTGTTCTCTTAAAAATTCTGATAACTCAAGGCTGGACTTGACCCAAAATAAGAAATCAGGTTTGAAAGCTTAGTAACTTCAAAATGACAAAAAAAATTTCCCATAATCTTTTATTTTTAAAAATCTTATCTCTACCCCTCATGGCTAGGACACAACCCAAGCACAGTCTTCTAATTTTCAATTCCACCAAATATTTTGCTGATTATCACTTTAGCAGTCAAATGAAAATAATACACTCACCACAGCAGAAAGTATAAATGGAAGACAAAGGGAGGGGAAGAGGTAACTAAATTGCTGTCCATGTGTTCAGGTCTGTACATTTGTACATGGTGGGGACAGAATATAGTAAAAGTCTCTGTGTACCTAATAGTAGGAAAACACCTTACTTGCTGAAAACAGACTGATGCAATAGAAAATGCAACAACACACTAGTATGCTTCATCCAGCCCAGCTCTGGTAAAACTGATGTGCCCTCTTCTACCTGGTACAGGAATGAAATCAACATCTCATACTGGTGAGATGCTTGCACAGAACAGTTTTTATAACTCTTCACATCTCCTCTATGAGCTGCTATGAGCCAGGTCCATCGCTGCATAAAGAGAGTACAGCAACCATCTGTTCATATACAGTATGGCCTCACACACTGAATATACTCTAACCACTGATTTGGGTGTAATAGAGCAAGTGATTGATTCTCTGCAATCTCATTATCAAACTGCTGTACTATGATGTAGATGGAAAGGATACCAAAAAACTTTATTCACTTAGGGAGTTTTTGACTGAGACAAAAGCAGCAGGTACAGTGCTGGTGACAAAAGGGCATTTTTTGTTTTTTTAAATTATGTTAGAGAACTTAGCCTGCTGTGAATGAAGCTACAGCAATTTGGTAGCAATTGCTGTTTGGAATGTTACTAACTAAGTAGATTTTTTGAGTGAGATACCACATCATGGCAACTTCTACAACTTGATTCAATGTTACAAATAGATTTTTTGAGTGAGATACCGTATCATGGCAACTTCTACAACTTGATTCAAATACAGTAAGCTTGTAAACCTTCAATACCATACCTTGGATTTGGGTTTGAAGTATTTTACCTAAATATTCCTATTTATGTCCTCTATGACAAATTGGAACATTTGTGTAATTTTTTTTTTTTTTGCTTTTGACACATGTGAAATAGATTTTTTGAGTGAGATACCGTATCATGGCAACTTCTACAACTTGATTCAAATACAGTAAGCTTGTAAACCTTCAATACCATACCTTGGATTTGGGTTTGAAGTATTTTACCTAAATATTCCTATTTATGTCCTCTATGACAAATTGGAACATTTGTGTAATTTTTTTTTTTTTTGCTTTTGACACATGTGAAACTGGAACATTTGTACCATTTTATTTTTTTTTGCTTTTGACACATGTGAAAAGCATTTACTCCCTGAAATAAAAATGGAGGACAATATCAGAGTACACAAGTCAAAGGGCTCTAGAGCAAGCTTCCAACTGAGTGTTGCCATAGGGGCTGTATGTCCAGGTTTTACAAGACTGACAGAGCCTTGCAAATAAACATAATTAAATAAATAACTTCTTTTTTAGAGCTGCTTCTCTCTGACTTCAATTACAAAGAGAAGTGATGAGCACTTCAACTCAGTTATTTATGTAAATTCAAATGAAGGCATCTGGAATATTAACTTTGGCTATATTACAACTTGTATAAAGAATCTACACTAATAACACTAAGATCCTTTCACATTACTGATAGAACTAATCACTTCTGATTTTCAAACACATACACATTAACCAATATACTTACTACATGTTTTTTGGGAAAAAAAGCTTGATTCATTTTAAAAGCCATTCACTTCTACAGTATTTTTCTTGCTGGGTTAGGATGGATTCTTTTTTATTGCATGAAGTCTCTACTTAGCCTCTATATATCTTCTACAGTATTTTTCTCGCTGGGTTAGGATGGATTCTTTTTTACTCCATGAAGTCTCTACTTAGCCTCTATATAAAGGATTCATGGCTTGTGTCAGTTGGTTGCTTTGCACCTTAATAGCTGGGATAGCATACAGATGCAGCAGACTTCCACCACAAAAACCTCAGATAACCCCTGTGCTGCTTCATGACTCAAACTGTAAAGCAAGTTACACACTGCAGATCCTATTCCCCTGTCAAAGGGTTTCCATGACCTTTCTGAATGTCTCAGGAGTTCTTACTACAAAATATTCCAAGGAGAGTAAATTACCGTAACATCTCATGAGGTAACGATATGCCACTTCTGTGTCTAGATGCTCAGGAATCAGTTCTAGAAGTGTCTCAATCTTCTTTGCCTAGGAAATTAAATGCACAGATAAAAACAGCATTAACTTGAAATCTTAAAGAACAAAATAAAATTGCCAAAGTTAGAGCAATGATTTCCTATTTTTTAAGTGAAGTCAACTGTACTGATAACATAGAATGGACTGTGTGACCAAAAGGAGACAAAATAAAACTTACATAATACAGGAATAAAATTAATACTTAAGAAGCCTAAACATTAGTGTCTCATTTTTTTTTTCCACATAAGCAATTAATGTACGAATGAAAATATGTCAGGCTTTCAACCAATTAAAAAAACCTGCAAAACACTCAGCAGCCTTCACTGACGTAGAGGTCAGTGGTAGTTACGATCAGTGCTTGAAAGAAATCAGATCACTAACTAATGTGCTTAAATTTGGAACCTCTCTCCCTCAACCTCTGATTCCAGATTCAAGAACTCTTGAATTAAAAACAGTTTATCGAAACAAATAACATCCCTATCATATACTACTAACTTCAATGTCTTACTAAAAATTTCAGCTTGATAAGCTAGAAAATGTCAAGGTTTTTAGTTCCTTCCACAGACACCAACCAATAGTGTTTTTCATCATCATAATTAGCATCATTACTTCAACAGAACAACTTTTAATCTATAAGCATTGAATGGCAATTTCCACAAAACATAAAAGTACATTTCCCTCATGTGAAAAATATTTATTCTAGTTTGTGTGTTCACTATCTCCTGATGCTGCTCCTCTATGAAAGAGAAATCCATAGGGTTTTGCATGCGTGTGTGTTTTGGTTTTTATGTTCTCATTGTTCAATATTGACTTTGGGGGGGGCTGTTTTGGTTTTTTTGTGTGTGTGGTGGTGGGGTTTTTTTGTTGTTGCTGTGGTTTGGATTTGTCCTTTATTTGTTTCGGGTTTTTTGTTTACTCTGAGAGGGTCATATAAGGAGGGACAGATAGGAGTAGAGCAAGCACATAAACGAGCATTTTGAATTATAGAGAATGAGCACAAAGCCAGGAATCTAAACAGACACTCAAAATAGATACATGTCCAAACCACCATAACAAGTGATAAGAAATGTGCCCTTTAATGCAAACATAGAGGCATTTAATCTATCTAAACAATTATACTGCCAAAATAGATACATGTCCAAACCACCGTAACAAGTGATAAGCAATGTGCCTTTTAATGCAAACATAGAGGCATTTAATCATTAGAGAGATGCTGAGTACTACAGTAAGTACTTTCAGCTTGTGATACGGAACTGGGTAATGCAGTAAAACATCTAGAGCACAATGTTTGTAGGATATAGAGTGCAACAACAAAAACACAGGAAATTACTGAAACAATAGAAGAATATTAAGTACATCCTCTTTTCCATCATACTCCATAATGTAAACTGTTCCTTTAAATGTAACCAGTTCTGCCAATTAACCTCCTCCCTCCCCAAGAAACCTGATAAAGCTGCCAACTGTGAAGTTCAAGATCCAAAACACTATAACAAAGGTTGATGAAATAGTATTTTGCAAGACATAAAATGATATACATGAAAAAAATATTATACCTGTCCAGGTTTAGTTGCTGCTCTAGCCATAAAACTCCCTAAAGTTCTCTTCTGCTCAACTAATGCACCACACCTCTGAAGAACAAGAAATGATTAATGTAGCAGACATGAGAAGGTTAGTCATAAACAACATGACTAAGGTGAATATTTCCAATTACAGATGCTTAAAATAATATACTAATGTATTACCTATTTTCAAGGTAAACAATTGATCATTAGTTTGAAAAAGGAAAACGATAAAACAACCACAAACCAAGTTCATTTCATGCACCTTTTTGGTAAGCATTGTTTTTAAAATGGTAGGTATAGAGTTTGTCTAAAACAATAGGGGAAAGAATTAAACTAATACTTCAACATACTACAAAAATGAGGTTTAGGACTGCAAAAGAATGAAAAAGAGAAACACTATTCCTCTCCAATTATACTGCCAAGCATTCACAAGTGAGCTAGGGATCATAAGGTTAATTATACATTTAATAAGGTGTCAGGGAGATAACTGCTCGTTTCTTTATAAAAATTAAAATGTACAAAGCAAGTTCTCTTTAAAGTATAATTACCTACACTTATGCATACAAAGGACTGATTTCAATCTCTCTATTTTATAAAAGGCTTTAACTGCAATAGACAGTGTTTGAGAGAGCGAAGTTGAACTTAGAAAAGTTTGAGACAGACCAGATAAAAATCAAAAATCTATCTTACTTTAGAAACAAGGACAAAATAAAATACACAAGACAATACTTTAGTGTATGTTACTCAAAGCCATCAGTCTTAAAACTCTTACACTGCACAGTGCTTTTTTTTCTCAAGAGCTGCACGATACCAGTACCAGAGTGCCCAGGAAAAAACATTTATGCATATGAATTTCCTACAATCAAATGGTATTGCAGACATATGCAAACAAGAAATTTTGTGTTATGCCATTATGAATGTTCTCTATGTGTAACATGGTTTGACAAACTCTTCAAGGTCCAGGTAAGGTGTGAAGTCTCATTCATCAGGCAAACAGACAAAAATGCACCCACAATGTTCTGACAAAAAATGAATTTATGGTGCTAAGTAGAAGCAAAATATTGATGGGAGAAATTTCCAACATTTTATTACCAATTCTAGCCATTCTCACCCACCACCAGGAGGTGCTCTGAGAGCAAAGAGATAGTCAAGCTGGAGAAAGGTTATCCACAGCCCCCTTACGTACTAAAAATATCAAACCCCTTTTGACTTTGAGCAGTAAAAGCATTCTCCCTCCAGATGGTACGAAAGACACTGCTGCTATTTCCTGAACTCTGAAACACACTCTTGGATGCAATTTTTAAAGCTAGCAGTCTCCATGTGTATACTAATATTTCAGATTGTTAAAAGCAAAATAAACCACTTCGACTGTGGTTTACTTCTCAAAAAAATAGCAAGAGAGCGATTATTCCTGTCCTCTAGTTAGCTCTTAGTAGAGTAATTGATCCACAATAGCAGTCACGAATGCTTAACACAGCTCAGTTTTTCCTGCACCAAATAATCCCCAAATTTTCTGGTATACACAGAAGTTTCAAATTCAGCTAATCTGTGAATATCCACTTAACAATATTTTTAAATTCTCCCCCAAGATATAGCATATACAATGTTATTTCAAGTACACTATAGAGCCATGAACTTAATTCTAAGAGTTGGATGCTGTAGTAGTAAGTTTTAGAAAGATGTGAATTGAAGTAATTCCATGTGTTGGAAAATTTTAAGAACATGGAGATTTTACTTGAAATGCAAAACACCTTATCTTCACAAAAGCAAGAAACTGGAACCGGTTTTCATTCACTCATTCCATTTCATTCATTTCAATCAAAGAGCTATCAAACAATCAGAAAGAGCAAAATAACTTGAGGATTTTTTTGCATTTTGATGTTCCAGGCAATATAACAGAGTTTTATAACAAAATTGTAGATTCCTTTTCTTTTAATACTCATACCAGTTGGGCAATGCAGTAAAAAAATTGAAGAAATACACAAATACGACACCTCACGCTGTAGCAGAAGTAAACTGAACACATTTGTTGGTATGCATTCTTCTCAAAACAGGTCTTGAAGACCATAAAATACCTGCTGGATGAAGCAGAGCTTTTTCTTTAACAGTTTTAAATACTTGGGAACTGGTAAATGAGTAGCATACACTACCTGGAGATGGTAAGAAGCTTCAATTTGAGTTGGGAGCCTACGCACACAGAACAATCTGCAAACTTGGGACAACTGCTGGATTGTCACCTGCTTGGATGAGCCTCCCTGCCACAGCCTGTTCATGCACACTGCCAGTGGCATCTCCCAGCACCCACAGCTCATCCCACCTCTTGCTCAGCTTTGTCTTTAGCTGTTTACAAATGGCATGACTGCAGCTTTCTCTATTCCTAAGTGAGCTGAGACTGTGACCCAGAGACCAACATTTGGGTTTTAATGCATCTGTGACACTCATATGGATAGAAAGCAAATTCAGCTCTTAATAAACCTTGAATACAGAATATACAATATTATATAGCAACCAAGTGAAGTAAGGTCCATGAAAAGCAAACACTGCCTGCTTCTGTTTTGTAAACTGTACAGCTGTGAGATATTATGCTTACAGCACTTAAGAAATCAGGTGAGAAGCTGCAGAGAAATGGTTTGCAAAAAACAACTGATGTCTAAGCAGAAAACTTTAGAAGAGTATTTGAAATATACAAATACTTCCTTTATTTTGTTCAGGTTGTCAGAAGACAAAAAACCCCTCTGACTGACACCCACTACTACCATCAGTACTAGAGTACCAAATCATGATGTAGAGTAGCCTAAACTGTGCACTGCTACTCACACTGTAATTCAAATGCACACCAGTACTAGCCTATGCTGTACAACACCTCTTTTTGACAATTTCTCAGTTAACCTTTGAAGAGCTCTAAGCATTTCTGTACCTCTCTTGTTATGTCATTACCTGTACCAACGATCTGGCATCATCCACTCTGTCTGCACTGACATACTGAAGGAAAAGATCTGTGACAGGTCTGTAAATTCCAAACTGATTGGCCAGTCGTTCTGCCATCACACCAACTGCAAAATGATGGGTACATAAGGAAAATCTGTGATTGAAAAGCCACTTTCATAAACTTCATAGGCATGATTTATGCTGACTGAGCAGGTTTTACATGTAATAGCTCTTTCATAACACCTCTGTCTAGTCAGAATATTTAAATATCATTGCAATTAACTTACATTTTTCCAAAGCTGGTTCTAATCCCTCCTCAGACACCTTTGTTAACAAATAGGAAATACTTCTGACAGCTTGATCAGGATTCTGTGCACCAGAGATAAGCAGAGGCTCAAGGTATTCCACAGCAGTATCAAGGTCATTGCTAGGAAAAGAGATTGAACTGGCTCAGTTTCTGAAATCAAGATTTCTAAACCTAAAGAAGCAATTACATTAAAGCTTTTGTTTTCTACATCAAGCTTGTATTTCCTAGGAATAGCTGATGACAAAATATTGACCAAAGAAAATTACTTCATTCAGATGTTGAAAAAGTGAAACTATTTATGCCTGAAGGAATAAACTAAGCCATAAATAAAATTTTTATGTCTTTTAACCTGTGCAAAGCTTAAATATTTTGGAGACACTTTTTTCCTCATTAAGAAAGAAGAGTTCAGCTAGCTGCTTTAGGAAAATGTGTCCTGCAAATCTAGAAGGCAAAACCCAAACATTAACAGAGAGTATCTGAATAATTAATGCATGCAACATAGGTTGCTTTTTTTATTCTATTCAATTAATTATTTACCTGATTTTTCCCATGCCTGCCTTTTGGATGGAAAAGACAATACTGAATGTCATTTGGCCATTACCTTCATCTAAATGCTTTTAATCTTATGGCTTAAGTATAGCAAATGCTAATAAAATAATGCAGGAAACATTCACTGAAGTGCAAACTCTACTAGCATTCTAAAAAAGTTCAAATGACAACATCTCTTATCAGGCCACTCTAAAAACTAATTTAAGTGAAAAAGAAATCAGAGCACAACAAATGCTTTTAGGTGAAGTAGAAATGCAGCACATTTGAAAGCTATGAAAAAAATGCTTTGAAAGCTATATGTGAAGCTACCAAGAAATGAATATGTAATTTAAAATATCTGTACGCACCTGTTTTTCAGAGTTCTCAAGGCACAGATTGCAAGGTATTTAAGAATATATAGGGTGCATATTATTTATGATTCTAAATCTTTTTATTCACGCAAGTTAGTTTTGGTATGGGTAAACCTGATTGCTGCTTAAATAAATCTCTGCCTGCATACAGCAATTTATTTATTTATTCTTGTCACCAATCTACATCTTAAGAACACAGCCTGACTTTGCAGTACTTTTATGACACGGAAATACAGGAAAATATGCAGTTTATAAGACAAATATCGAAGTGTGTCTCCCATCTGTAGTGTTTAATTTAGATACAAGACCATGCACTAGAACTGTGTGTCATGGACCACTGAGATCTAAGTATTTACAGGCTCAGTCCTTTATAGACAGATTGTTTTTCAGCAGTTGGAAATGTAGTGAGCTCACTCCTGGAACAGGCCTGCATGGCTCTCCTTCAAGTCTGTTCCAAACACTCCAGTGGCTATTCTCTCTGGCCAGGCATGCCAGAGGCAATCAGGTATCTGTTATGTTCTACAGAGTTCTACAGCTTTCCTGCT